GCCGCAGCTCCCGCTGCTGGCGGCTGCCCCGGGGCTTCTGGCCACTTCGGTCCCCGCCGGCGGCTGCGGGCGTGCTGCTCGCCTGTCCCCTCGGGGAGGGCGGCACGGCCATCGGAGCTCCCGTGGCACGGCGTGACCCCGGGCAGGCTGGCTGTCTTCTCACCACCCCCCCGCGCCACCGGCAACAGAGTAGAGGTGCCAGCACTTGTGGATTCCTCGTCCGCCGCTTGAAGTCGTAACTCTCTCAAATAAACATTGAGGCACGGGGGGCACGAATCCATGAGCGGATGAGGGTTGTCCTAGAGAGAAGCCGGCCGCTTGTGCCGTAACGCCTCGAGCGGTAGCGCCCGCCGCTGGGGCGGTAAGGGGAGGGGGAGAAATTTCCTGCCACCGAGTCTGAAATCAGAGCTGTTCCCGTGAACGCGAGTTGTGCGACCTTAATGTTTCATCCTGTTGGACACTGGCTCACTGTGTTTCGTTCTGTGGGTTCTGACATGGAGAGTTAACATAGTTTCATGGAAAAGTCTTCTCACTTCCAGTGCGTATTCAGGTCATACGCGTTACTGACTTCGTTCACGCTTAATTCTGCAGTGCAAGTGCAGCAGTAGACAGGTGTCTTTTTTTTTTTTTTTTTTCCTCCTCCTTCTTCTGTGCCTCATCAATAGAACTGCCATCTGCTGTGACAGTGCCTTCACGATCCACTAGTAGCGATGGGTAAACAGAGTGCAAGTGGGTTCATTTTTTCCAGGTACCAGGCAGAGGCAGAACCTTGTCAATGGGAAGGGTGTGCTGTAGCTTTAGGTCTGGGGAGGAGGCGGCTGCTCTCCCATTACACTTGTTCATGTGGTATGGGTTATTATATTACTTTAATGTTATTACGAAATGGATTTACTAAAAAATGTCTCCTAGAATTCTGGGAGCGGACAGAAATTGGTAACAAATCTATGAATATTTGGTTATTGTCTTATTAAAATACTGCTGTTACAGAGCTTGTTATATTATATGCTTTTGATTCTGTAAATAGAATTAATTAAGGAGAATAAAGAGCATAAAAATGGAACTTTGGCCTAAACCCTCCTTATTTAATCATTCCGTTATACTAGCATGTGTAATTAAAGATTAATTTTTCTTCTCTACAGTTGGAGGATCTTCAGCTCATCAGTGTTCAGTTCTCATTTCTTGTCTCTTTTTTTTTTTTTTCTTCAACATTTTTCTTGTGAGCGACTTCTTCATGAGTAATAGATGATAATGATAATTGTGATTTTAGGCACTAATGTGCTATTACTGTCCTAATGCAGCCCTTGCTGCCTTGAAGTCATTTTCACAGGCTGACATACATCTTCTGGACAGTATTTTAAAGGAGTTGATTTCAGCTGAGGTGATGTTTTTGATACATTGTTGTGATCTTAGCATTTTTTGCCTTGCCTGTTCATGATGCTAAAACTAAAAGCTTGAAAGCATACATTCATATCTTTATGAATGGGAACAGTGTATTAGACTAAGATATACATGATAGGAGGTAGCATGTGTAGGTAGGAAGTGTCAGTGCTAGTGTGTGACGATGTAAAAAAATTGTGTTGAAATATTGTGTTGGAGTCAAAGAAGCTTTGAAATTCATTTTTCTTTTTCTGGAGGTATGGCTTAAAAATAAGAACATCAGTGAAACATGCTGGTATATCCAAGTCCCTGTGAGTGTAACTGGTCCGTTCCTGTTGGACTGAGAAGTGTTGAGGTATGCTGGTAGGAAGGTAAAGAATTCTTCTGCAGTCATCCTTCAGTGCCAATTTAAGGAGTGCCTTTGCTCTTGGCTTAAGAATTAACAGATGGATTTTCACAGTGGTGATTCAGCAAAGGTCAGAATAAATAAGGAAGAAATTAAGTTAACATCAGCGTGGCAGCATTTCAAAACTTGTCAGTTGCAAACTTTTTAAAATGGCCATCATCTTCTAGTTGCATGGCTTTATTAGTTTCATTGTGATCTGGCAGTCATAGCCTTAAAGCAGTGATCTTTATAGTGTTATAGAAGTAGTTTGAAGAACTCCATTGTGTTTCTGAAAGTAATATACAAACTCATTTCAAATATTGTGTAATAAGTGGGAAAACTGACCTTGTCTTAATAATTTTTACTTTTGTTACTGACTGAGGTCTAGTAAACTTTGGAGGAGAAGTTATTGAGAATTAAGTTCTCAAGCTGGTACTGACACAAACCAATACCCTGCTGCCTCTTGTTTTAAGTGAGCAAACGAACAAGAAGAAGAAGAAAAAAACCAAACAAACAAAAAAAACCCAAACAAACAAACACAAAAAACAAACCCAATGGGCAATTGTATCAACAGGCTACTATAATCCAGCCTAGCATTAGCAGTATTTTCTTTCCAAAACTTACTCATTGAGAAATAAATGTGGGAAAAACATGGGCTGGCAGATTGGAATAAAGGCCTATATGTAGCGAGTTGCAATGAAAACAGATTCAAGCAGTTGGTCTCTTTTCAGCCCTATGTGGATCATGCTGTATGAATCATTAAAGCCTTGATTCCGCAAGTAATGCGATACCTACATCATCCCTCTGAACGTTGAAGTGGGATGAAAAGAAGACAGGTGAAAGTTCAAGCTACTGAAAATATTTTTTCACCTCTCAGATCTTTACTGAGATAGATATCTATGAAACATGTTAGGAAGACATGGTCCATGTTATTGGAGACTTGTCAGAGACCAACTCCTCTTCTGGCTGACACAGATGTGTGCCTCAAGCATATAGAAATTCTGTGAGCAGATAACACCAACCTCTGTAGTGCAGTACACAGTGACCTGGTTCATGTATAAACAGCAACCATATTAATTGTTTACACATCACTGTTTTTTTTGTGTTTGTATGTTGGGGTTTTTTTAGTACTCTAATTTGAAAACTCTTATTTATAAGACACTTCCCCAGGTGTATTTGTGAATATTTACAGAGGGAAATAAAATATTATAATGCTAAGTGCTTAATTACTTGACAAAATATTCAACTTTAAAAAGTAATCTGGTACTGGAAAATAATATTTTGATCAAAGGACATTGATCAACAATATAGTAGCAGTGTTTAAACAGGGGGAATGTTTGAGTGTGTGTGCAAGTACAGAACCCTGGAATTCTAGTGAGAATGAATGGGTTATGAGCTTTGATTCTACAACATAGAAAACCTTGAAGTGAGTTGTGGGAGTGGGGAGGTTTTGGTTGTTTTAGTAAACTGACAATCAGTCATACAGCATAATTCCTGCCCTCTCCCTCCAGAAATTGCTTTCTGACTTCTGGATCTTTAGAACAGTATTTTTAGGTTTTATAACAAGGGGTGAATTTTCAGCAAATAGTCTGTGGATGTATGCAAGGTTATGCTAACAAACCTCATTTTCATTTAGAAAAATTTCTATCTTAAGCCTGACTTTGTATGTGGAAATATGTTTTTCTACATTTCTATCTTTCCCTTGGCCAAAAATAATAGATCTCTCTCTTTGAAACTGGATACATTAATACAGGGTACTTTGTGCAGATGCCAGTATACTATGTATCTATACACTGCCTGCTCATAAAATACATGCACGTAATGTCTACTGCACCATGAAAGGATTCAGGGTAAAATTACTATTCCAGGGTAAAATTACACCTATGAATATTTTAAACAGAAAAATACTATTTTAAGGGTTAGGCTTGACTAAATACTAAGCATATTTATTTAAGGCTAGCCCAATGCAGACATAAATACGTTGAGAGTATAGGCTGTATGCAACAGCCCTCATTTTAATAGGCTGAAGAAATAATTGATGGGCCCCCAGAGTAGATAACTGCTCATAGGCTGAGTTGTTGCACGACCAGCAGCAAAACAGCATATGGGATATGAGGAAATCAAAGAAGTTTTGGAAAGTAAAGGATCTTATTTCTTGAGGGTGTACTTTGAATGCTGTATTGTATAGACTTAGGCTACAGTAGCTGTAAGCCTGGTAGTTACTTTTTTAGATTGATTTCCACCCCTACCCCACTCAAGAAAAGGACTTCTTAGTTGGTGTGTTTTTATGACTGCAGTCTTCAGTCTGGTTGTATTCCTCTGCCTTTGAGATCTGATTTCTGACACTTTAGACTGCTGATCTTTCTCTCTTTATTCTTTTACAAAACAACATTCAAAAACTAAGAAGCGGATTATGATCGGTATCTGTATGACAGGCTAGGAGCAGCTGAGAACTGTAACTTTTTCATCAAAAATTTTATTCTCCAACAGATTCCAGGGAAGGGTTTTTTTATGTACAACACACTCTTGAGTCCTGAGAGGCAGTCTCAGAGATCTTGCATTACTTACATGAATATATTCTTATTCCAAATAGATATGGGTTAGAGTACGTAATTGTCTTCTGTAGAAATTGATTTCTTATCTTCCAGATAATAAGTACTTCTTACTTCTAGTGATGCTTGGCTGCATCACTTGACTGCCTAAAATTACATCTGTTTTTTGTGACTTCAGCAAGTACATTTTCTGCCTCACTGGACTCTTCAAATTGCTTTTTAACCATTGTTTTTCCTGTTGCTGCTATTGCATTTGAGACAGAAAATTTATCCGGATAGTAACACACCTTAACCATCTTTCTGTTTTTAAACAAAAGTACATACTAGAGAAACATACCTGTCACATGGAATTACTGTCCCTATCACTCTCGTCTTCCTGCATGATGTATGAACCCAGTTGACAGTCTTCAGAGTTGGTAATGGATAATGCTACTTCTAATAGCTTTTTTCTGCTGCGACTGGATTTGCAGTTGGATAAAGTGCTGTGAGGCAAATTGGTGACGGGATAAAAATCCTGGCTTGAAATTTTGTAGCTGTTCTTTTCAGATTCCCAAATGTCCATTTAGGTTTTTTTTTTCAGTTGTGAAGAAACAGTTAGTTGAGCAGCTTCCAGGCCCCATCCCTCTGTAGAGAAGAAGAGGTAAGAAGTTGTTCTCTACACAAATTATAACTTTTTTTTCTTAATGTATTTTCTTTGTACCTTTTCAGTCTTTCATTAATAGTTACAATAAAATGGATTTAGTCAACAGATTTAGAGAATATGCTTGAGGAAGGTCAGGTGATATACAAGGATTGGTGTGGATATTCTGGACAGGGCTGAAGGGGAAGAAAACAAGGCTAAAATATTAATGGGAGAGTTCATGTACAAAGGTGGAAGAATAATAGTGTGGAAATAAGAGGGATGAAGAAATAAAATCTCTGAAATAGATTGGAGGAAAACCAATTAAAGGAGTAAAAAAAATAAAATTAGATCTGAAGAGGGCCATCTTTGGGCTACAGTAGGAGATGAAATGTTTGTACAGACTGCATTTTGCACGGGATGTAACTGTTTATTGCAGATATGAACAGGGCTCATTCTTCTGAGACTTCTGCTATTGTAACTGTAAGTACTGGTAAGAGATACAGCAACAGCTAGCTTTTCAGGAAAAAGTTTCTGAAAAGAGATGTATGACAGGCATCTGTTAAAGGGGGGGTGGGGGGTGGCAGGGGGTGTCTCTGGCTTGTGCAGGAGAATAGGCACTTTGGTTTAAAAGAGCTGGTGATGTTGTTGGTTTTTTTCCCCGCCCCTGACCCCAGCA